AGAGACAGACAGACAGACAGACAGACAGACAGACAGACAGACAGACAGACAGACAGACAGACAGACAGACAGACAGACAGACAGACAGACAGAGAGAGGGACAGAGAGAGAGAGAGAGAGAGAGAGGGAGAAAAGAATTACAAGAATTCTCCTTTGAAACAAAGTATTATGTTCATTCCCTTGTTTCAAAAGAGGCACCATGAATTCTAAATGGTCCAGGGAATGAAACTTGTCAAACAGTATCCAAATAACTTGCTCACACTCCCTACCTTCCACTTACTTTGGAAAAAGAGTAGGAAAACAGCCTGTCATACTCAGATTGTTTAATAAGTAAAAATTTAATAAATAAAATTATTAGTGGACCTCATGGACTGACTAGAAAAACACTTCATTCTACACAATAATTGTAATCATATTACCTTGAGAGGTAGAGAAAAAGCAAAAACAGAATCTATTATATTTACCTTCTAATGCATGTATTGCAGACTTTATGTGTATCATCAGCACTGCATGTGTCCATATCTTCCTCTAAGACCTCATCGTCATAGCAACACGGACATTCTTTAAGCTGACCATTTTTCTTAGCCTGTTTATGAAGTAAAACAAGAAAACTTTGTAAATAAAAATAAACTGGAATTGTTTTATAGAAACCACAGTTTGTGCTAAACTATTATATTAGATTATGTGATTTATAACATTTTAGAAGCATTGGTTAATTATAATAATGGGCTTGGAGCACTCCCAAACCAGTTTTCAATAAAAATAATATATGAAAAGTTAGTTCTTTATTTTGATCTTTCTTTTTTGCCTCTGCTACTGAACACTGCACAATATCTCTTGTTCAATACCATCAGTTCACTAATAAGAGGTTTCCCAAGTTGCCAAATTAGGAAAGATTGAGAAAACAATCATATGTATTTTTTAAAACATGTCTTATGAATTTGTTATTGCAGGAGAAAATCTTAATGATATATGATGTATTTAACAGTGAAGGAGTTGGAATACCATGTTAACACAGAAAACAATTCTCAAAAGCATCATATTTAATGAAAACCATTTGAAGTCTCTGATTAAATTTACCAAGCCCATCTAAGCTTACATTGCATACAAGATAATAATGATAGTGCTGGGATGATGTTTTTCCCCCATGTCTTTGACTCTGGACAGCATGTAAAACAAGCATCTGGAGTGACATTGGAAGAATATAACTCAAGAGTGAACTTTAACCCACTAACGACGGGTGTCCCACATATGAGACACCCGAAAAAATAAACATTACCGGGCGTCCCCGCCAGTGACACTGTATCGGGGATCTTGCTCCGATGCAGCAGTGGGCCATGGCCGGCGCACGGGCAGAGTCCGGGCCAGCCCCGGGCGCCGATTTTGTAGCCGCCCAGAATCTTTTATTTTAGGCTTCAAAATATACCCACGTTAATGGGTTAATTGAGGCATAAAATTTCATGTCTATACAGCATGCACATTAGAAAGCTTCCTCCATTGTCATTTCCAGAATTTTGACCATCCCCTGATAGGCACTTGCAGGTGCCACTTGTCACTAACCAGATAGTTTTCAGTGAGAAATACAGGAAGATTCAAAAAAACTAAAATGAAATAATGAATACTACTGCACCTGCAGGTATCCATCTCACACATATCTGGTATCATACAATACTTACCCATAGAAATGCTCTTCTTTTGTTTTCCTCTTTCTTCACAAGATGCTCTTTGATTTGGACTTCCATCCCTACATAGCATAGCTCCTTTATAAATATGTCATCTAAATCTCTCTGCTTTAATGGACTTGTCCTCTTTGTCTTGCGTCTATTCAACTTTTTGTTGTTCTGTTGCAAAGTATAAACAATAATATCAAAGGTCATAATAAAATAAAGAAAACTCACATTTCCTGTCACAAACAAAATTTAAGGAAAAAACATGTAGTTTGCTATTTTACCTATCAAACAACAAACATTCAAACTCAAAATAAAATACAGCATTGGCATAAAAATATCAGATTTTTATCAATCATTTTTTACCACAAAACAGAAACAAGAATAGATACTTATTTCAGATACTTATAGATACTTATTGAACAAGGTGGAATTTCCTACTTCCCAGTCTAATACCTTTATAAAAGGAATACTACTTAGCAAGTGAGCTAAATTTATACAAATTTGCAAATGCACATACCTGTAATGCCCTAAGTGTTGGAAGGTAATGATAATTATGTTTACGGAGCTCATTATCAACATCTTTTTTTAGGTGATATGGTAGGTCCTTCATCAGCTGTGCTCGTGCATTGTCAACATATGTTGGACTTACTTTCTTTTCAATATCAGTAAAGACCTATGAGGAAAATTTTAGCCCAATTAATTTAACCGCAAAGCAGAAGCACCTTGTAATAATTTTCATCACCATTTCCTAACTTTACCCAGAAGCATCCTAATGACATCTAAAATTCCTTGCATAGCTGATTCTAGAAATAAATTGTATAATAGAAATGAAAACATCAATAAATATTTCATGGCACATATACATACAACCTTATTGCTAAGATTGTACATACAACCTTATTGCTAGATGTAATAATAGCAATCATGTTTGGTAACCAAACATTATATATGCACAATAGATAGTGCTGTGACAAAGAATATGTAAATTTCTTTTTCCTAAATTAAATGCATCTAACGCATATGTTCATTATTGCACTAATACTGCTTTCAAATGACACTTTCAACATTTTCTGGTTATAAAGCAGAAATATAAGGTCCTAAGATATTGCTTGAATATAAATCTATATTTCTCAAATCTAAAAGCAGCTTCAGATATTAAATAAATATATCAACATACAAAAAGACATCTTGCATAATAATGCTTCAATTCATAATCTCATTCCAAGGAAATGCTAGATAAGCATACCTGTTCTGGATTCTCAAAATACTTATCTAAAACTCCTCAACAGTCATCCCTTCAATGAATTTCTTCTTATATCTCCATAACGCTTTGCCGTTTCAGATACTCTTCCATCTTGGGATAGTCCTTCTTTTCCATCAGCTCGTCAACTAGTCCTTCAAACTTGGTCTGATCCCCATTAATGCCCACACACCTGAAAATCATTAACATGCAAGTCATATACATAAGCAGGTTGAAAGATCCTCAAATGATGATAATGAAGAATTCATATTTCGCAGCATGGTAAGCGTTTCGCACCTAGAGACAACTGCCATGAGTAAAGCTCTGTTTTTTTGTTTGCTGAGTAACAACTGAGATCAGATGAGAAAAATGAAGACAGCGGAAGCGGCAGTCAGAATTGAGGCTCTTGAAGCTAAGGTTGACAACCTGGTAGCAGAATGCCTTAAAATTTGTGAAGAAAATGTAAATCTGGAGGAACTGATTACAAAGGAAGAAATTAAGACAGAGCAGATTATCATAGCTCACAGGAGGCTGGGATTATTTGAAAAGGGAAAGAAACACCCTTTAACCCATTTACGAAGGGTGTCCCCCATATGAGACCCGGATCAAAAATAAACATTGCCAGGCGCCCCTCCAGTGTGAGATGATGTCGGAGTTCAACGCTCTGATTGTGTAACGGTGCACGGGCAGAGTCTGGTCCAGTCCCGCATACCAATTTTGAAGCCGCCCAGAAACTTTTATTTTTGGCTTCAAAATATACCACTATTAGTGGGTTAAAACTAACATTCATGAATAAGAAAATGGTAACTGATATAATAAAGAAAGGCAAAGTCCTGGCCATCCATGAGGAATATAAGAAAATCTGGATAAGAGAAAATATGACGCAAAGATGACAGAAAAACACTATAAAAAAAATTGGAAGACAAGACCAAAGCAGAGGGACCAGATGAAATTTCTAACCGGGTTCTCAGGGAATGTGCTGAAGAACTATGTACTGCTTTATTATTAATATTCCAAAATTCACTGAGACAAGGTAAACTACCAAAAAGTTGGGAACTCCCAAATGTTAAACCTTTATATAAGAGCGGCGACAAACAAAACCCCCTAAATTATAGACCAGTTTCATTAACTAGTGTAGTATGTAAGCTGCTAGAAAGAATAATTAGGAAACAATGGGTTGAAATACTTGAAAAACACAGAATGATATCAAATAAACAAGTTGGTTTTAGAGAATGAAGGTCATGATAGAGTATCTGAAATATTACAAGAAAGAGACGTCTGGGTGGATTGTTTGTACTTAGATTTTAAAAAGGCTTTTGATAAGGTGTTTCATAGAAGACTACTGTGGAAATTAGAGCACCTAGGTGGAGTGAAAGGCAAACAACTCACATGAATAAAAGACTTTCTTCATGAAAGACAGACGAGCACAGTAATTAAGAGAGAAAAATTCTACATGGCAACAAGTAACCAGCAGAGTACCTTGAGGATCTGTGTTGGCGCCAACTATGTTTACTATTTTCATTATTGATTTAGAGGCAAACATAAGCCCAGGTAGTTATATGAATATGTTTGCAGACAGCGCAAAGATACAAAAAAGGATAACAGACAACGTCTCATGTCAATGCCTCCAAAGTGACATTGAGAACTTATTCACGTGGAGTTGTACATGGAAAGTTCAAAACCAATAACTGCCATGTAGTCAGGTTCAGAAAAAGTACAAGTTGCCTGCTATTCCAATATAAATTAGGAGACACAATATTAAACACAGCTAACAGGGAAAAAGATCTTGGGATAATCATAAATAGAACCCTAAGGCCAAATGATCCTATAAATGAAAAGGTCCACATAATTCTAGACTGATGCCAACATGAAATGGGCATTCGTGTATGTGACGAAATATGGTAAAGAAGATCATTATAACAATCATAAGACCAATCTTATGATTGTTTGACACTTAAAAAAGGATATTGACAAACTGGAAAGAGTCCAAAGAGCGGCCACAAGGGCACCTACTCTAGGAGATCTGAGTTACGAAAATAGACTGCTGAAATTTATTACCCTGCAAGAAAGAAAAGGGGGGGCATGATTATGCTGTTCAACTGTATTACAGGAAGAGTGAAGTTAGATAAAGATGACTTTTTGATCTTGAACACAAGAAGGACAAGACGACACAACAGAAAGTTAAAAGGAAAAAGAGGTAATAAAGATGTTAAAAAATACAGTTTGCAAAACTGAACAATTGAGGCATGGAACAATCTCCCCAAACACGTACACACATAAGCATACACGAGAGAGAGAGAGAGAGAGAGAAGAGAGAGAGAGAGAGAGAGAGAGAGAGAGAGAGAGAGAGAGAGAGAGAGAGAGAGAGAGAGAGAGAGAGAGAGAGAGAAGAGAGAAGAAAGAAAGAAAGAAAGAAAGAAAGAAAGAAAAAAGAAAGAAGAAAGAAAGAAAGAGAGAAAGAAAAGAAAGAAAGAAAGAGAGAGAGAGAGAGAGAGAGAGAGAGAGAGAGAGAGAGAGAGAGAGAGAGAGAGAGAGAGTGAGTGAGTGAGTGAGTGAGTGAGTGAGTGAGTGAGTGAGTGAGTGAGTGAGTGAGTGAGAGTGAGTGAGTTGAGTGAGTG